TTTTTGTCGCAGCCAGAGGGTGGGCATCAGCAGGTAGAAGGAAAAAGTATATGTGCCTTGAGATTCTCATTTGACAATGGGCTTCTCAGACAGAAACCTTTATCCCCCATGTGGCATGCAGCACATGCCTGTCCATCAGCCCTGCTTGACAGATAAGCGTGCTTGTATTTTCTGAGATGGTTCTTTGCTATTTGTGATTTCCAGGAGGCTGGTTGAACAGAGAACAAGAATAGAGTGAGAAATGAGGGGCTCTTAAAAGTGGAAACTTACTGTTTGTCAGGTTACAAGAACCTGGACAATGGCTTATTTTAAGAAGATGGAGGTCATCAATGTCACCGCCTTGCCAATGGTACCGATGGATGAGCACCTGGCTTCCTCACTCACTGCACGGACTGCAATGCAGAAAGCCGTGAGGAGGAGTCTGGAAGACAATCCACCCTGTATCCTTCTGTGGTGCTGTTTATAATCGAGACCAAATACACCTGCTGCAGAGCTGTATGTAACCTGTGCTCAAGACTATAACATGCATTACTTATTAGCTTGTTCCTTACACATTCATTAATTTTTTTCATTACTTAAGCCCTACCTATCCTCTAAAAGAATTTGAGACTGTGAAGGATTGTTTGACTTGAATTCGTTTTACTAAGATAATCAGAAAAAGCCCAAAAGGAAGAAGACTGGAAATATTTGTTGAAAGAATGAAGAAGAATAGAAAAAGCTCATTTTTTCCATTGTCTCATCTTTCCCTTTTCCCAAGAATCATAGATAGCAACTAAGAAGTCATGATCCAGCCCTCTGCCCTCAGACAAGTGAACTTAAGACTCCATTTTTTAATTTTTTTCTTTTTCTTTACTCCAGTTGACCTCACCTCTTCTTACCTGCCAGCCCTTTTGCCTAGGCTCAGAGTTTGTTCTTTCTAGCATCATCCAGGCTCTACCAGCATCTTACTTCTCCAGCACTGCCTTCATTGATCCTCATCTCACTTCTGACCCTGAACTATATCCCGGGGACCCACAGAATCCCATCTCTGGAGGACTTAGAGCTCATCCAGCAAATAACCCTCTCTGGTTATAAATAACCCAGGTCTTTCCATCTCATAAAGAGCTCATTTCTCTTCAAGTCATGCTGCTGCCTGCCCGACTGAACGTTCCCTTCTGCGTCCTTTCTCTCCCACGCCTCTCAGAACCCCTCCTCGAGGTGAGCACGCCTGATCCCATCAGGATCCGCTTCAGGGTCTCGCTTTCCTGTGCCTTTTTCTAATGTCCCTCTTTTGCTTAATCCTGTGCTCGTCTCAGCCTAACTAATCCATTTCGCTCCCTATGATTTATTGTGTTCCTCCTTGGCATCTTCATTTGTCAAGCATCCTCCAATTTGTAAGAACACTTGAGGGTAATGGAAGTAAGAGAGAACCTCGCTTTAGATGAAGGCAGCTGAGGAGCGATAGGATTATGGAGCTTTTACAGAGGATATGTTCCCAGACCAATTGAGTCTGAGATAGAAAGAAATTCAAGCGTTAGAGCTGGTAACAAGATGGGCCATTGAACTGAGCAGAGGTTTCAACAGTGATAAGCAAGGTCAAGATACCCTTTGACTTAGTCATCCCTCACCTGAAAATCTCTCTTAAGGGAATAATCCAAAATATGGAAACAGCGTTCTCTGTGACTTTGTGCATCACAGCCTTATTTCTGATTGCAAAAAGTTATAAACAACATAAATATTCAGCAGCCAAGGAACAGTTAAGTGTATTAAGGTTAATCCTCTAAGCAGGTTCATATAATGCCATTTAAACTATTATGAAGATTATTTAGCCTTATGGGAACTGATCATAATAATGAGTGGAAAACGAGTCAGTAGTAAAATAAGCATACACTGAGATTATAATCATGTAGAAAAGTATGTATGTAAAGATTCCTGGAAGGAAATCTCCCCAAATCCTAACAGAAGTTGTTAGGGCAGCAACATAATAGATGAGTCTTTATATATTTTTTAAGGTGTCTAGAATATAATTTTCATTTATAATTTATAAAGCAACTCATTTAAAACAAGATGAAAGAAATGTTGAATGTTTACAAAGAAAATAATTAAGTGGCCAGACAGCACAGAAAGGGAGTAAGCCTTCACCCCATTTGTACGTAATTACCACCCCGAGAGTCTCCTTAGCTGACTCCCCGCCCAGCGTGCCTCGTTGGTTCCATCCACCAGGTGAACCAGAAGATTGCTGAGATAGATCTGAGTTCCAGCCCGTTGGACAACAGCCTGGTAAGTTATGGGTGCCAGGGCTGA